AGTTCTCCTTCGTCTCTTCCTGAAATTGATATCTTCTCTGCAGTCATACTGCTTTCCAAAATCCGAAAGCTTTATCTGACAGCTGCATCCCACTCCCAATCCTTCGCCAGCACTTTCCATTGCCATTCTGTCGATAAAAGGTGCAGAATGAGTGCAAAGCCCTATCGTTGTAATTGCAATGGCGTTCCATTGTGTGCAAAAGTGTCACCGATACCTCCTTTGCTTTGTCTCTTATGTTTTGCATACGAAGGACGTTAAATTATTAAGTACATACAGTTTGATACCCATTGAAGGCCGAATAGTTTGACCAAAAATTGCATGGAATCGGCATCATTGATAACTTCTTCCATTACTTTTTGGCATTGCGCTGTCAATTTTACATGGTTTCCTTCTGGTTGTGCTTCTTGTATTCTTGTCTTTGAAGCCGTTACCGTTTCCATAATGGCATATTGATTTTTTCAGTTCACTTTTGGGTGAAGGAGATTGACATAGCCAATTAAATGCCGGAAAATGTGAAATCACCAAATGGTGATGTTACATGTTAATAAAACTGATGAGTTGAAAGGTCAACAACATTTAATATATAAAGAATCGTCAAGTCAATTCAAGAAATCGGCAAATAGCGGGAAACCGCAGCGGGTGAAGCGAATCTTCCAAATAACACCTTTAGATTACTGGTTCACTAGTCAAAGTACAAAGTGAAGCAGAACGGATGAGTAGCAAAGTGTACAAACTTAAAGGCAGCGTCCAGGCAAATCTGGACATATGGGAGTTCACGGGGATAGTAATTTTGGGGCCTTATCTAGGCCACTGCCGGCTGAGATACTCCCCTCGAAACTGGACCCCAGGATCGTATTTCGCATGGAATGATGGCGCAGCCCATCGGTTTCGCATGGGTCCTCGCGCGAAACTGATGGTCTGCGCCATGAATCCATGCGAAATACGATCGTGGGGTCCAGTCAGAAGGCGTATATCTCAGCCGTTAGTGAGTCACCTACGCTGCTGCTTGGGCAGTGCTTTGTTAGGGCCCCAAAATTACATTCCACGTAAAATCCCCATAGGTCCAGATTTGCCTGGACGCTGCCTTTAAGTATGGCGGGCGCGATCTACCTCTGCTTGGCGCTCCACTGAAAATTGAGTTGAGTATATATCTTCCAAAAGGTGGTTCCTCGCGATCGTTTGCAACGGACAATGCAGCCATGCTAATTGCAGACGTGATATACCCAGCTGTCCGCGCGGGGTGGAGCCTATCGGCGACATATAGTCTTCACCCCTGAAGACTTGATAGTACCGCTACAGAACCCCCAAATGAGGATTAGTTTTTGTTTTTTCTGCTCCCGGAAATGGTGAGTTTTGAATATATTGGTAGCAGAACTGTGTAGATGATTTTTATTGGTGTAATATTCAATTTATCTGTCTATTCACATTTTTGCCTTCAAAATTGTCCAACGCTCCTTTTCGGGAAATCCCGCCCTCACTCCTACTGGTACGCGTACAATTGTCGTTGCTACTAATTTGACAGAAACACTCATTGTGGCATGAAGTGAAAATAGTCTCAGAGGAAAAAAAGGAGAGTCTTGGGAACGTCCACTCCTTACTTTGTCTCTTATTATTTCACTACCTTTTCACAGATTGTTATATGATGAACAGCGGGGTGTATGCCAAGATGAACGATAGCTGGAAATAAGCATACTGTACTCTTGCGGTTGTCAATATGCCAGGCATAAAGTCTTATTTTTTTGAAGAGATATGATCTACACTGAATCGAAAATGGTGTCGAACAGTAAGATTTAGGGATACCGAGCTCCCAGCGTTTTTTCCAAACTTTGAAATATCGTCACAGCGTAAAAATGGAACTTGAAAAAGATTTGACCTACGCAGCGCATATGGCTGGCACAACCTATCGTTCATGTTGGCTGCCCCCCTGAACAGCGGACTAAAGTTTATTTCTTGTTCTCGCGAAAGTAACAGTTGAGCTCAATGCACGCGATCTCAATTTTAGAAATTCTAAGGCAGTTGTCGTCGCCATGTGTAGAAGAAATTTTCTTGCTTTGTCAGTAGGTAGATGTTATCTGGACGAGTTGTTATCTTCAAAGCACGTGTTCAAACATGCAACTGTCAACTTTGTTTTGAAGTGAAGATGAAAAAGACAGCACTCAGAGTTGCATCGGTTTTCGGGGGAAAATGCTGGGCAAATATTGTTTGGAGATGTGTGAACATACTATCAAAAAGTGTTAAGGTTCTCAAGGGCGCTGTGCGGTTGGCTGCAGTCGCGCCGATATGAATCCAGCGCAGCGACTCATAGGCTTCCGCTTCCACCCTTTCATACTTCTCTGTTCCGAAGCACAGTAAAGTGGAAACGGTACTTATCCTTCGAGTGAGGAGTATCACAAACTGCATACTGTACCGTAGTCTATAGAATGGGTACAAGTTGTACGATTCCCACATTTAGTGGAACCTGTTTGTTGCTATGTCTCCAGGAAGGCCTCAAACTGTCATTCATTCGTGACTGTTCCGTAATACTTCTAGTCGTGGTCTTAGCACTTGATTGGTAAAAGGTGCGCGCTCTTCCCGCAATGTGTATCCTCTTTTGTCTCTTGATGTTTCCAGAACGTTCTTCACTGCTGATAGTGTGTACGCAAGTCGATCATTGTAAACGAATATAATTCTCCAGCAAATTCTCTACCCTTTTGCTCTCGGAAACTCAGTTACCTATTTAATTCCAATACGAATATCATGAATTATTACAAGTAAATCTCTCCTCTGTATCAAGAGACGAAGTTCTTTTTGAATGTTTGCTTCGTACATTGATCGAAGAGATTGTTGTCGCCGATGCCATGCCTCTCCCCAGTAATTCAAGCGAGCACTACTCCGGACGTCGAACGGCAAACAACCTTATGTGATTGTTTGTCTGCTTTTCAAATACCCAGACCTTACCATGAACGTGAAGATTGTTGGGTGAAAACCTGGGATTTCGAGAGGCTACGAGTTTGTCTAGAGGCTACTGCATGACGAAGGCGCAGAAGCAGTATTAGGTGAGAGGGTGATAACGCGGCGCGCGTATCCTCAGGTCGTAAATCTTGCGCCTTATGCGCTCTGCGGCTAATGAGCCGCGCTCGCACCCGAAGATATTGCGCCTTCGTCATGCAACTGCCTATACTTTCATTGACGAACTTCGCTTATGGCCTTAAGGATATCACGTAGATAAAATAATTGTTGATACCTATAAGATGTATTTGTAAATAGTATAGTAAGATCAGTTGAAGTGTTTTTATACTCAGAATATTGTGCACCAAAAGCATCCTTTTTGCTCAGAAATATTCCGCATGTGCGAGATACTAACTTCACTTGATCTCTTCTTTTTTTTCATACTGAAAAAGTTCATCTGACCAATCTCTAAAATATGCAAGTTCGATGTTTTTCGACTGCCCTTGGATTCCATTCAAGTAGATTTTCCTCACAATATCGTGTCCTTGCGGCATCGAGATTTTGCGGCCGGTTTCGCGCGTGAACAAATAGCTACGCCTACAATGCTCGCCACGTGCGCGTAAAATGCCGGCATCATTGGCATGGCCCTCTTTCATGCGCAAATTTGACCGCAAAATCTTGGCATCGCAAAGGCACTATACTGTCGAATCTACTCGACCGTACATCCAAGCTCCATGCACGTGTGAGAAGTCTTGCATTGTTTAACACTCTGTTTTGAATGTAGCTAATATGGAATCCCTAAAACCAGCTTGTTTGCCATGAAAAGCTAATGACCGAATCTCCATGTTCAGACATTGAGAAACTTGTTTTGCTGGCACACTTACATTTCCTCGGTTCCTCCCAGTCTTTCTTTTCTGTGTAGATTTCTGCTGATAAGCGTGCTGCTAATGGCCGCAGAAGCCGTTCCATCTGTCTTCCGTGGATGATTAAATATATTCATTAGAGTTTGTCCTCAGCGGAGCGCTAGTGCAGCTGTACCTGTCGCAGACTGGAGCTGCGGAAGACGAAGCGTCCCAAAAAAATGCGTTTTTCATTCTTTTGTTTAAGGGAGGATTCCCAAGGCTGCTTTTTTTTCGGCACTTGAGCTCCCTCAGCAGTTTTGAATATTTTTGGAATACTGGCTTTGTAGCCTGCTTTATAGTGATTTGAAAGGTTTGGAACATGGTGTAATTTGGTTAATTTGTAGGTGAAAAAAGGCTTCCCGTATTGCTCATTTCCAACATTTAAAAAAAATTTTCAGTCTGGATTATGTTGGTTTGGCTTTTTCAGATGCGTAGACCTGTTGTTCCCCAGCAATGTTTTTTGTCTCTTTCTAATGTTGGACAGTTCTATGAACTGTGCGGTTTAATACGAACCTTGAATAGTAGCAAATCAAAAAAAATTTTTGTTGGAGTTTTTGATGAGCTTAGACATTTTATAACTGCCTGGCTTTCCATTAATGGAATAAAAGCAAAACTGGGAGATGTTGACCCTGAAAACAATGTTTTTTTGCGTATCAATGTTCGGTTCTGATTTGACATTCTAATCCAAAATATTGAGAAGTATAATTTTATACGAAAAACCTCCAACTACTTGAATGGAATACGTTTTCGTCCATGTAAGAGCTGCGCTCGCCTCCTTCACACTTGTCATTGCGCCCAAATCGATGTGGTGGCCATTCGTTCCCGGCCTGTACGTGGTTTTGACTTCTTCGGGAATGTAAATGTCGGTTAGAGCTGTGCAAAGACTACCTTTTGAAGTGCAAACGTTAACGCTTCGTTGATTCTGTCATCGTATCGATTTTCTGCTAACATTTCCCTGGAATTTGCTTTTCCGTCAATACATATACCTTATGTAAAGTTGGTCTAGCAATTTTGTCTTGTGAAAATTTAGAAATCTACATTCTTTACCTTATTCTACTGTTCCTGGTCGTTCTTCTCCTGAATGGTGCGCTCTATTTTTCCAAGTTTTTGTCGTCGATCGATGAGAGTTTGCAGAATTTTATATTGTATGCTGTCAATTTGCATATATTTAGGATCTGATATGAATCGATGAGCGGTGCTCAACTCAGGGATATCAAAATAGACAATATGGAGGTGTGTGAGTTGTTTAGAAGCATTTATAGTAGTAGTTGGCGATCCATTATTGGTCAATTCAAAAATCTCAAAGCTGTTGAATCAAAAATCTTAAAAAATCATAATGATTTGCTTTATCGCATTTCTTTGACAAGTTTGTGGACAAAGAAATCAGACTTCTAGCAAAAACGTCGTACTTGATTGCGTTTACCGATAAAAAAATTACTTGGTTCAAAGTGGAAACGCAGTGAGATGGAACGATATTGTCACATGCTTGTGTTACGTTTAATTTACTATATGTGAGCTGTTGATGCTGTAACTTTCATGAGGGTAAATATTAGCTGATAGACAAGGTTTACCTGAACTTTTCGCTACATTGATCTCCATCAAGATACATTTTGTACAATATTAATTTGAATCGCAGTCAGCACAGTATAATAGTGAAGAGGTCTGAAAAAAAAGCATAAAAGAGAATTGGAGACTTCAAGCAAGAGGAGAACTGTCAATTTTGTACGTGTTCACTTTGTATCAGGTCAAAATGGAGGCTTTATCATTACTTTGAATTCATTCACTTTTTTGCCTGAGTTTGCTCCTTTCTTGAATGCATCACATTCTGGTATTAAATTTACAAGGGAAGGCTTTTTAGTCAAATTGGCCTTTTCAAATGAGTTTCATACCACTTTGAAGAAGACTAAACACTGATTCCAAATCCATTTTTATTATCTGCCAAGCGCCTCAATGTTTGTTAGTGTTTTTTAACGTGGAGAACGAACGCAGAAACTATGTAAAAACAACGGTTACCATCTTTTCTGCACTCGAATGGAGCACTTTTGAGTATGAGGGTATTGGCTGACTATATTCATTGAGCAAAGTGCTCCAATAATTTACACCTAACCATATGAGCAATTCTGAACGATTTTGTTTCATTTAAGCATCTAATTTTTTGACCCGAAAAACCCTCATAATTCGACCTCCAGAGGCACTTAGCAAATAAGGAAGAATATTTGAAATCACCGTTATATGCCCTACAAAGTAATATAGGTGTCATATGAAAAGGCCTCTTCGCTAAAAAGGCTTCCCTTGTTAGTTAAGCAGAATCGCGAAACTTAAATTAGCTATCTTTGATTACCTGAATGTGTAATTTTTGCGAACAAGGTCACTTTGCCTTTTGCCTTCCCTACCTCCCCATCTACCCTCCTAAGATTTGCCTTCAATTCCAAAACTTAGTTCCAAGGATATATGTAAGTCAACAATGGAGGGGTTTTGAGAAAGGAATTCTTCCCAGACGTTTCTAAGATAGCCGAGAGAACCTGTCGCCTACAAGACGTAGAAGGGGTTTTTCTTTTTTTCAATGATCTGCTTTTTGCTTTTGCAGGGAATGCTCGAGAAGGATTATTGAGCGCACCCAAAAGTTGTAATGTTGCTGACCAATTCAATAGCTTCAGTCACTGGTTTGCATTTTGCATTTGCAGCATGAAACTCCGTTGTAATGTGCATTGCTTCAAAAAAAAACCAAAAGTGATTGAGAGCCAATAGTTGAGGGATCCAATATGAAAACTGACAGAGTCTTCATTTTGACTTGATTGTTTCTTTGAAATAGAGTCGTAATTCAATGCTGCCAGTTAAGACGATCACATAAATTGGCTAGCCCTCCTCTCAATATGAAAATTTCGGTTCTTTGGTTCCATTCTTCCTCTTCTAAATATTCCCCTCAACACAACAGTTGGCTGCCAAATGTAAAGTGATTCTTTGTGTGACGAAGACCATCCACATTTTTGAATTTTTTTGTCGCTAACTTTCTTATCATCTCGCATTTTGCATCTTGAAATGAAACACTGGATATTTCGAACAACAACGTCTTTCTGCACTTGCAGCAAAGCCCAAAAATTTCGATTTGTTCCATATGAATCATGGTTCGTTCGGCGCCTACTGTTGTTGTAAAGAGATCTATTGTTGCTAACGTTCGACATTTCTTCACGTTTCCTCGGCAGTGCACAGATAGAAATCAATAATGTATACTTTTTCTTGTGACAGGCATCGTTTGCATCCTTGCTGATATCAGTCGGAGAGAGGGCTTTAGAACTTCTGCCAAACCGCTGCGCGAGTCGCGACGTCACGTAGTTGTCATGTTTCTGTTGAATTTATCTTTGCACTTGTTATCTTAGTAGTGCATCGCTAGGCTGTATTATTTGATTTCATATCTTATAATCTTCTAAATAATTTTTTGAAGATTATGGCTTGGAAATGGTAGCAAAAGCCATTTTTACAAAGATCTTATGGATCTTATCTATACTTGCTTTTCATTTCCAAAAAGTTCATTATTGCCCTAAGCTAAGCAAGTTTGAAGGGTTTCAAATGATCTCAAAACTTGTTTAGCCATCATTTACCCTCCTTTTCAGACGCTAATATACGGTCATTAAGGTTGATCGCCGCGGAACGAGCTCGCGACGCGGCAAACGACTTGCCGCTCAGTCGAAAACACATCCCACTATACAAGCGAAGCAAAATCAGGTAGGCTAATCGATTTTTTTGTTTTGAATTTTCTTTTTCAACATCCTATATTTGATAAAAATTACATGGTGGAAGTTATCTGATAGTGAGAGTAGCGCGAGGCACCGCACTAAGGACCTAAAAATGGGAAAGATTGCTGAAATTATGTTTGTTTACACCTTTTTGTACTCACATGCTCATAAAAAGAAGAATACAGAAGCAAGCTCCAGAAACTTGGCAATTATTGACTCCTCAGCCGTGAAACATCGCGCATGTTGTGCAGTATACAATTTGGATTGTGAATTATTCGAATTCCATTATTTTCCTCCTACAGGAAATCAATAAAGCCATAATTTTCATGCATTTTAAGTGCACCTGTTTACTAAAAGGGTAAGATCGCCGCTACGCATATAGTTTTGCGAAGCGGTCGCTTTCTCTCAAAAGTTGCTTTGTGCGCTCCATCGTAAAGCCTACGCGCGCGGGACCCTCTGAAATGTTTGCTTTCGAGTCAAACACGGTTTTCAATGAAATAGAAGACAATATGTCTCTGATAGGCTCCAGGTGGACCACTGGTACGAGTTCAATGTAAAGAAATGCGTGGTTTATTGCAAGTGTCCGCGCAAGACCTCTTCCTGCGTCATTTCTACGTGAAATTTTTTTTTGTAAATACAGTCGGCTAGATCCGTCGGCAAATATAGTGCCCTTGCGATGCCAAGATTTTGCGATAGAATTTGCACGTGAACGAATAGCTGCGCTTGGAATGCCGGCGTTTAGCGCGCGCGAATTGCTGGCATCACAGGAGTAATAAATATCTAAGCACAGCTCTGGCGAGTATGTCGTGTTTACAAACCTGCAAAAATTTTGTGGGGTGCTTTGAGACGCACATTAGAGGAGTTGTATCAAATTAATACCTTTTTTGACCGGAAGCTCTAAACCCTAAAAAGAACTGATAAGAGAAAGTTAAGGTTACCATCAAATCTGCACACTTTCCTTGCTCTTTCGCTTTTCTTCTGGTTACTTTATCAAGATGTAGGAGTCACTTGCTTTGAGGAAAAGTCAAGTTTTTTTTCTCTCTTTCGAGGTCACGTACTTTTGAAGGAGAGCGAAGCTTTTTTCCCCATTTTTTTCTGTTGTCATGTGGCCGATAAATCCCGCGAAAAAAGTTCAGAAACTTTTGCTTTTCGCGGTTAAAGTTATTGATACGCATTCATGCCTTTTTTTGGTGCCCTGATTTGGATATAATTGCATGTCAAAATTACGGCCTTGTCTTTTTTTTTCGAAGAATGTATAGCTTTGAGTTGTTTGGAAGAATTTAAGGAAGCGGTAATGGCCACGCTAAGTGGTTGTTTCCTGCTCTAACTCATTTAGGGTATTCAGTAGAACAGTTTTTGCAGCCGTGGTTGTTATTTAAGAACCACATGATAATCTCAAAATTTACGTCTATAGCTATTTGAAGAAGACAGCTGTTTTCATATTTATTTAGGATTTTTTTGGTGCCCTCAGAGCGCATGAAGTGAGTAAAGAAGTTTTGCGCAATGAGTTCATGGTTTAGGCATTTGAGCCGAATTTCCATTTTGCTTTTCTAGTTATTTTTTGAAAGCTCGCTCTGTTGGCAAAATGCAGTAGTCCAAATGTTGTGGGTTTTATTTTCTGGTCGTTGTTCTCGTGGGATAAACCTTGAAGATTTCTTTTATACCACATTCAGGAGCGTTAGAGCTTGAGATTGGCTAGTCTTTCCGATTTCTGTTCTCTTTACTGTAAAGTGTCGCTTCGAGATTTTTCTTTTAATTATTCCTATACTTTTTATGGATACGACTGTGAAGAGTAAGTAAATGGACAATCTCATCATCAGTTGCACGCACTGGTCCATATTTTTGCATCAGGATTTTGCTCCAGTGGAACTAGACTCTGTGTCAGTTGCGTACTCCCTTTTGCGTAGAAGATTTTCAATAATGCTCATTCCCTGTATGCGTCTTGTTATGCTCAAAAGGAGAGAAAAATATATTTCAAAAATTGGCAGTTTTATCGCCTCGTGTGATGCCGTGCCTATTGTGCAGTCTTTCAAGTCATAAAGACTTGGTTGTATAGACTAATGATCTGATCCGGTAACGTGCATTTGCGGTGCCGACACTTGCCCGAACAAATCGAAATTGCCAGAAAGTGCAAAATTTGTAAATATGCCGGCAGTACAAGCGCAGCGGTTTGTTCACGCGCAAATGTTGTCGCGAACTATCGGCACCTCAGGGGCACTGCATCTACCGAAAGATATACTTGATCCTACTGTTTGGGGTCTGGAATCAAGATTATACGTGTAGAAAGCTGGGAAAATCTCCTTAATGTGAGTGACTCGAAGTAATGAAGCGTAGGGTACGCGGTCTCAGTCAGAGTGAGGAGTGTGTCCTTTGTCCTTGCGAGCACCCGCCCGATCAACTCATCAACATGCTAGGATTAATCGCTGCCAGATGGTCCAAACTACGATTTCGAGCGCACAGTGGGAAATCACCACCTTTGCCTTGAGTTTTCAAGGTTGTTCGCTGGGTTTTGAGGTTTTTTTGCTGAGTATGATTCGTTGTTTGTGTTTTCAACTGGAAGAGATAGTGCATTCAATATCGCAAATTATCTATAATTCAAAAGCTTTTGAGCAAGATTTGACATCCATGACTGGCAAGAAATACGTTTGATTCATCATCGATGGCGTAGTTCTATATTAGTGCTTGAATTCATTCTCAATGTCGTAAACTTTTACGTGGAATGACCCATCCCAGCGGGTTGAGGCGCATCGTACATCAGAAGTTGCCGAGCGTTTATGGTTTTTGACTATCGCATCCTATAAATCTTATTGAATGAGGGAGATCTTCTGCTAGGTTTCAACCTGAGCAATTTCTTAGCAAAGTCATTTTTTTGAAATCAAGAAGAAGATATGGTTATAGGAAAATGTTTCAGGCGCTATGTCTATACTCGTTAATCTGCGCTTTTCGAATTGTTGTCTAATTTGTCTGTTTATTCAGTGTAAGCAGTCTAGAGCTGTAAATTGTCTAGGGAGTCCAAAAGTCCATCAGTATAGATTGAGCATTTTTTTGTTCCCTACAAAATTGATAGCTGTAACTTCGAACTCTTCCATCAACTGGCCACAAAGCCTGCAAGCCTATCAAAAATGCTTATCCTCTACAGCTTCTTCCACACTGACCGGTTGATGCATTCCTTTTTCCATCATTTTTAATGTTGAGTTTTCAGATGTATCTAATAACAACACTTGCGCCGGCGCCAAGTGAACAAGCGCTCATCAATAAAGTCTTACCCAAGGAGCTCATACTGCGGTAAGTAATTTTTCCAACTCACAATCTATTTGGTTTATATGCGGTCCGTTAGCGGGCCATAATCTTGGACACCAAATATGGACAGTTTAGTGGAAAATTATCTGGAGGAGTCTACAGAAGGCTTAGTCATAGTGTTGTGATATCTCATTAGCTGCTGTAAAGTACTGTAAAGTATCAGTAGGTATACTGTAGAAACGGTGAAAGAAACTCCCAACTCATATAAAATGTGTTTCACGAAGTGTATATACTTTGACACATGCGAGGAGAGTCTGGCTTATATAGAAATCTTATTGTCATCGATTTATTGATTTTTGCATCGGTCGCTTTCGAAGACTGAAAACATGCAAGAATTCCAAACCTGCTCATTGCAAACACAGTAGTTTTTTAGACGGTTTTTTCAATTGATTTATTGACTTTCGCGGTTTTGTTTGCGTTTCTTTCACCATTTACACTATCTCCAACAAAACAGAGATGAGTAAGATAGATAGTAGTAAGATGTGGTCCTCAAACAGGATGATCACCCTTTTTTTTCTAGATATTCAGCCTGTTAAAAGCCAAAAAGTACAGTGAAAGTTATTTTACTTATTAAAAGTTATTTTATTTTATTTAAGTTAGTTAAAGTTATCAAAGTTATTTTTGCCGATATCCGCAAGTTTGATTTTTACAAATATACCCTTTGAATTCGTAATAAGTTACAAGCTTCGTACGAATCTTCACTGATCAATAAGTAAAATTCCTAACAATTCTAGTAGATTTCTCCGTCTTCATGTCTATTTGGGTTCGACATAGCAAGCTAACAAAAGGTGGTGCAAACTGATAGAAATCGGAGAAAATGGCATTGTTAAGAATGTGGGCAACAGATCACTCATTGTTGTAGACTATCTTATGTGCACAATATCTTTCCAGAATTTTTTCTTACCTCGATATGAAAACGTTATGCCGATGCGCACAAACTTGTCGATTATGGAATATTTTGGCGCTCGATGGCTCCAATTGGCAACGGGTCGATTTGTTCACCTTTCAGAAGGACGTCAAGGTACGGATATTGTTTTGTACTTTTCTAACCTCCTTATCTTATGGAGTTTTCAATTTTTTGCCTTTTTTTGAAATTTTCATGCGCAGCCATTATCGCACTCCCAATGAAAAAACAAACAAACGAAGAAACTGGAATTTTGTAGGCAGCAACAGTTGAAAATCTCGCTCGACGTTGTGGCGGATTCCTGAAGAAGCTTTCATTGAAAGGATGTGAAAATATACAGGTATGATTAAGCCCTACTTTGACTATCTTCCTGGATTTCTGAGGAAAAATTAACATTTCATGTTTTTTAGCGTAAATGACATGGAAAATGTTTCAGGACTCAGCGTTACGGTCTTTCACAGCGAAATGTGCCAATATCGAGCATCTTAGTTTGTACAAATGTAAAAGAGTTACAGATGCGTGAGTACTACAAAAAACAAAAGTTTCAAGCGATTTTGACTTCAAATTATCTTTTCAGGACTTGCGAGAATCTTGGCAGACATTGCCATAAACTGATCCATTTGAATCTAGAAAACTGTACAGCGATAACGGATCGTGCACTTAGGTACATTAGGTGAGTATCGATTGTCTGAATATTTCACGGAAATTCTGTAATTGCAATTTGCGCTACTCAATAAGAGAAAATGAATTGTTTTTGTATGTCTTTCTTTGCACAAACAACTAAAAATAATTTTAAGTAATTTTTTTTATTGATTACAGCGACGGCTGCCCCAATCTGCAGTACTTGAATATCAGCTGGTGTGATAATATTCAAGATAAAGGAGTAAATATGGTGCTCAATGGATGTAAAAATCTTACCACATTGATAATGAAAGGATGTGAAGGCGTTAGTTTTGTTTCTTTGACCCACTAAAGTAATTAATCGATCAACAGAATATTTATATTGCAGCTTACTGAACAAGTGTTTGCGAATTCGATCGAAAATATGAAGAATCTAGAAGTTATCAATTTGTTATCGTGTTTTGTGAGTTTTCTGAGTACTGTGTTCCTACAGTATTCCTCTAACCGAGATGCGTTATTGCTGATTTTCTGTGTGTGGGTTTAGGCGAATGACGAAACCGTAGGACATATTGCCCGTGGCTGTCCGCACTTACAGTATCTGTGCTTATCAAATTGTACACAAATCACCGATCGATCATTGATTGCATTATCACAAGGTTGCAAGATGTTGACGTAAGTGCTATAAATTAATTCCGTTGATTTTGAGTTGTGCTGTTCATGGAAATATTGCTGAAATTTGTAATTTGAGCATAATGTGGGTATTTTTTGCTGTTTTGTGCATTGCAGTGGTCCGTCAAAGCTTTGGGAACATTTTTGTTTTCCCTAAAGAAGCTCAGTGCGATTTTTCCAGTTAGGAGTATTTCTAATCATTTTCCCCAAGTTGCTTTATTATAAAGGAAATCGTGAACAATGAACTTGATCGTTGGAAGCTTACTATGGCAAATTTTCGCAGCCTTCTTGGAGAACAAATATTAGCCATCATTTTCTGAGATCTCTCTCTCTTCTTTGCTCTAGCCCCTTTGCACTTATCAGTGAATTTTTTCTTGTACCGACTATATTTTGACGACAAAAACCTTGCGACCTGAACAGTCATATTATTTTTGTACACCAAATGCAAGACTTATTTCTTTTCCACCTTGGTTCAACATTCGACTTTGAAGCATGACTCTACGTTTACACACGATTAAAGTCTTATAAGTTTTTGTCTTTGTACAGATCACATGACGTATTTTCAAAGCTAGAAAATCGTACCATGTTTGTTTTTATACGTTCAACATTTACGCTTGATGGGCTATAGCGCTTTTCATTTTTTTCGGTGAGAAGGCTCAAAGTAAAAAGGTATGTTGATTAGCGTTCACATGTGGAAAAACTTGAAGTCAAAACTAAGTTTAGAAGAGTTATAAGACCGAAAGTGGCTAATTACAGAGACCAAAGAAATTTTCATTGGCATCTGCGTCAAAGACACTGTCCAGACAAATCTGAGTGCTCGAACTTTTGATATGGATACTGTTTGGAGAGCCCTGTCAAAGCCATCACATTTCTAGACTCACCCAGACCGGATCACATAGTAGAAAGTACGGTCTGGGCAAGAGTTGGAGTAAATCTCGGCTAATAAATCATATGAGCTGTGGCGTGGGCTTAGTTTAATTATGCCTTTCATGCAGTTTCTTCGTAGGAACCCCTGATTCCCAGATTACCCGCATACGCCGTTCAATATGACTATACTCAAGTAGTAATGTTTTAGCGATATTGAATTGTCTGGCTGTAGCCTGCTCTCTGATGCTGGTTTCACTCAACTGGCCAGACACTGCAAATGTTTGGCTCGGATGGATTTGGAAGATTGTAGCCTGATCACTGATGCGACCATTCACTCGCTTAGCACAAATTGTAGCAATCTATCTGAATTGGTAAGATTCTCCTCTACTTTATCAGTCTTCTTTTCTAGCCCATCGTACGAAATAGATTTGTACCCGTATTTCATTTTAGAGTCTTTCTCACTGTGAGCTAATCACGGACGAATCGATACATTGTCTTTGTACCAACAATAAAGACAAATTACAGGTGAGTTATAACGTAGTTTGAGATTTTGTATTTCTTTCGAATGCCTATATCTAGGTGTTGGAGCTCGATAATTGTCCACAAATCACGGACTCAGCTCTATCACATATGCGACACGCAAGAGCGTTGAAACGAATCGATCTGTATGATTGTCAGAATGTGTCTAAAGAAGCAATACAGCGATTTAAGGTCAGTTTCGTTCCCCTTCACGGCCTCCTTGTTATTGTAATTCTCCATACTAATAGCAGAAGCTATTGGTGCACAATTACCACCATTTTTATTTAATGGTAGCGCTAAAAGGGGGGGGGGAGAGCGTCCTAATGGCACGAGAACTGGTCTTTTTTTGATATTTTTTTTGCATCTAGCTCATAACTTATTATGTCTATGTCATTGTCGAACGACTGTATGGAACCAAAAGTGCTGGACCGTTTTGGTCAAATAATATTCTCGTGAGTATATTTTGATCAAGAATGTGTTAATAATTATTTTGAGTTTTCTTTCTTTAATTGCATCAGTTAAATTCGGTTAGGAACGAATTCTTGTCCGTCTAACTTCAGCAGCCCTAGAACATATTATGACTAATTTCTACTGTAGACTATTCGGTCATTATTTTAGTCTAATTATGAATGGTATGTTGTAATGCATGGTTCTGCAGTTAGAGGTAGCACTACTTGCGCTAAAGCGAGGCCACTATGTTAGGGACCAGTTCTCGCGGCAGTATCACTCGGAACTTGTGTTTGAAAACCAATTCGTGCATCATTCGTAAAAGCTTTTTTTGGCGTTTGAAGTCACCATTTATCGAAAGTTCTCTTATTGTGATTGTGAAGTTTGGGATTATTTTCCGTATTTAGCAGCTCACTCATTTTGAGTGCATATTATTTAGCATCATCGGCCACACGTGGAAATCCATGCGTATTTCGCGCCGGCCACACCTCCAGCAAATCCAGCAACTGCACGAGCAGGTAATCAAAAATTCCAATCAAACAATTTCCATCATTCAACCACTTCTCATTTCAGGCTTATGCAGATGTTGTGCTATCTTATGACTAAACGTTTGTGCCCTGTTCTTCGCTCTCTACCATCGTCTTACGCATATTTTCTGACTTCGGCATCAACCTCCAGTTGGACGCTTTGCAATTGGTTGCGCTGAATGCCACGCCCATGATCAAAGCTCTAATTGGAGGAATTGCTACATCCATCTGCTTCTTATGCTTCATATGCTTCTTGAATGCTAAAAACACAGATTATTGATTGCTTATTAGTCGATTCTTTGCGTTATTGCCTTGAAAGCAGAATTTTGCGTTCGATTACTATTAATTGCCTACTTCCATTTTTCATAATACCATTTTTTTTCAAATTTGCCTTCAAAATACGTAACATGGAGAGCAGGGCACGGTAACCTGCGGCAGGTTACCACCTTTATCTCATTTTCTATATCATAGATCATTCCATTGCTGCTATATGTGTTTCTTCATAGTTTATCGATTTTTTGTGTTTTTTCATTGATTAGTGTTATGTGCGCGCATTAGCCACTTTTTCTTCATATGTGCATATGGAATGCATATGCATGACTTGTGCTCTACCTCTGCCAATCTGCATCGTTCGCATGTTTACTTTTTATTTCTAAAAATCTTTATGTCCAGCAAACCAATCCAAAATTTGTAGCTATCCATTTTTATCGATTTATCGATTGCCTTAGAAACGCCTTTTCCAAGGTGATCGTTTAAAGTTACGAAACTGTTCATCAGTTTTATGATCATGCTTTTTTCACTCAGCTCAGCTGAACATCTAAGACCATTGACTTTTAAATCCGCTTAGAATATTTTTGAAAAATTTTTCGGAAAAACCTACTCCCCCAGCATCTGATCTTTATTCCTTCCAAAATGAAGTCAGTTCAGCTGCAATTGTTTCGCTTGCTTATTGTTGATGATTTTTCTTCCAATATAATGTAAATATGTTTTCTTCAGTCCGTTTTCTTCCATTAAAAATCTGCGTCCATCCACTGACTGCTCTTTGGGTTTGCGTCATCTTTCTACTCAATCTCGCGCTATATTTTGTATTTTTTATTCATTTTTGTGAACGATTGTCCGATTTTTCCCCCGGCAGTGTCACTGTTTGATTCCCACAACTATCCTGTATGTAGAACAATTTGGTCAATCAAATATTATACTGGTGACACATAGTGACGAGTCTTCTCTTCTGTATTAGTAGCTTTTCGCCAAGTTTGTAAGATTTGTTTATTTTTTCTTTCTTGTTAAAAAAGAAAATAAAGTTTTTTCACGCTCGAATGCATGGTCATTTCTTTGCATAAACAGTATTGCTTTAGGAAAATGTTTTCAACATATGCGTCGGGTTTGTTTATGAAGCTAAAATATTCTCCTATGGGGCAATTCGAAATTGGAGAGATCTCGGACCTTTTTTCTTGATTTAATATTGTGCTAAGACATCAGCAACCGAATGCATACCATAGAATATGGCTGCTCCCGAAATGAGCAGTTATGAAATAAAAGTACTTAGGCAATTTATGCTTAAATATTCGAAAAAAGTGATCGTATTACTTTTATCGTCAGTACTGTAAGAATAGAACTAGAGTGACAAAGCAATTCACGGGACAGTTGGAATGGCCAGGTTGGGAATTTTATGCGAAGAATCAATATAGTCCTAAAAATGGGAAAAGTGGTTATAACTTTTGCTGCAGTTCTGATAGACTCAACTGTGGATCGATCAATATGCGGCGCGTCCACATGAGCGCTGGCACGGCGCTAGCACGGCACTGGCATGGCGTTAGCGTAGCGCTGACACAAGTTCAACGCAAACGGCCTCAAGAGCATTGTGCATGGAGGTAAGAAAGGTAAGATTAAGTAAATTCTCCAGAAATACTGCATTAGGAAAGCGATTTATTTCTGAAGACAAATCATCGAAACCAAACTTGGTGAGCACGCACCACTTCTTTAGTGTAATCTTTTGCAGCTTTCTGTCCTTAGCAAAAATGAATCAGGAGTTTAAAAATTTAATTAGCTTTGTCGATGCTCAGTTTAGATTAATCCAAAGGTTTTTCGAACGTTCAGATCGTTTCCTACTTTGAACAATACAAGGAAACTTTGCTAAAAGGTAAAGTCATTGAAATTCCACTGGCGCTTCTAAATATTGCTCTGAATTCTCGTATTCTGCTATCCTTACTTTGGAGGTCAACTCCAGACTCTACAGTCATGGTAATAGAATACGAGTATTTGACGGGAATCGCGGGATCTGCGAGAGTTGCGCGATTTGCAGATTTGATCATAACTTCCCCTACAGCAGATTCAAAGACCTGCACGAGGATTCGGACTCAGCTCGACGAGTAATATTTTTGCAATATGGTCCTAATCTATGGGTTACGATAAGCATATGGTCATTCATTTTTGTTCGTGGTGGTACTTTATGTCTTGCACTATCAGTAACCTTTGGTCAAAAGATTATCAAATTATTTTTGCTGCACAAAAATAGAATGTGGGAAGGAGAAAACTTTAGGTTATTGCAAAAATAATGTCCTTTTTGCAAAGTTCAACTTGAAAGGCTATAACTTTGTTCAGTCTTCACATTTCTGAATGCAATCAAACCATCTGAAGCAGTAAACCTTTCGTAACCCAACGTGCTCCTGCATCTACTGAATTGCAGACGGGAAGAACAGCATCATCAAGAAAATCAGCTTATTTTGTAGAAGCAATAGTATACGTCTGCTTAGAAAAGATATCAATAAAGGAGTATTAAATAAGTAAAGAAAGAAATCCAAAATTGTCCCCTTTTTTGAGCCTATTTGTGGTAGGCCAGAAAGTTCCAAACTATGGAAATTCGAAATTCCTCATACATTGAATAGCTGAGTTATTCTGCAAAAATTGTAGGCAAGATGTCCTGACTTCGAGCATACAGAAATGAGCGAAGCTTCGGCAATTGCCCTAATTATGAGAAACTTTGAACCCATAGAATGCCAGCGGCGAGCATCTATTTCGGGGCGTCGATTTCTCGGTTCAGATAATTACGAAACATCTACTAAAATATGCTAAAAATAAACAATGCTCAACCAGTAAGTAGCTATGTTTTCAAAAGAATCCTTTCATTTTCGCCTGAACTGTGGCCAAGCGAGTTAAAGCAAAGAAATCTCGATTTTGAGTGCAACTGTGTAAGATGCTGGTGAATTCTCACAAATGAGACAGAAGATTAATTTCGCCAAAGTTAGAAAGTACATGAGGAATGTGCTCTCCAATGATATGCAGAATCCATGCCGAAAAAGAAATTTCGAGGGAAAAAAGTTGTTAGGAATGTAGGCCTAGAAAAACGGACATTATTTTCGCAACATCCTAATACATAAGAGTATGTAACTTACGACAGTATAAGTACGGTACGGTGGTCAGGTAAGTTAAACACGGTGTTTGCGATTTCTAGTTCAATTCGCTCTGAAAAATCGATCGATGTCTTATATTTGTGCTATATACCCTGCTGTGTATATCATTGATTTGGCTGGGCGAAGTTGATTTAATTCTGGGAAGGATTTCCTAACAAATCTGATGACTCCTTACAGCAAACATAAAGCAGAGATGTATCCTGGCCCTCCGGTAAATTCAACAAGTTTGAGCAGAGCATGTTTCCATATCAAAATTTGAAAGCATTTATTAGCTGTTCATACGGTATGCGCTGACTCCGCGTTGATCTATCGATTCTTGTCGATGCATGTCAACCATCGATTTTTGTCAGTGCGAAGACTCTCGCGCTTCTCCTTCATTTGCTGTCGTGAGCTCCAGCGGAGCGGTTGGTTTTTTCTTCGCTGTCTCTTATTTTCTCACTTCTGTTGTTCACGAAATTGAAGCTGTTATCACTTCAGGGATCTATGGGACTTCGCGCGTACGGCTTTGACCACTGGTGAACTTTGGTTACCGACGATCTCCAGATGGAAAGTACCATAGGTTAGGTAGAGTTTTGAAAAGTCCACCTAAGGCACAGTCTGTGAATGTTGATCTATGTAGGATGGAGACATCTTCTCAAATGTACAATCAGAAGTGATATGATACTCTTTTTGTATTCCGTTTGGGCATTCCCGCGTATAATTGATCCCCCTCCACTGGAAGGTTATAGTACGGCCGTCCATGATTTGTGACACAAAAGCAGATAAGCAAGAGATTCCTAGGTTTTTCAAGCTATCAGCAAATTCTCTATGGAGTGCTTCTGTCATCAAGATCATTGCTATACTGTAACCTACGATGTAGGTCGATGTCCACGCAGTGATTGTCATACCAATTTTATAACTTTCTGGTCGCAAAGAATCCACGAAAGCCCTTCGAGATCCCCTTCGCCTACTGCTTGTGAACTCTGCTAAAATGCTTCCAAAATGTTCGCGGTTACTTAAAGCGAGATTGTTTGAGCAGGGCTCGGCACAGGTGGCTTACAAGCAAGCTGGATAACGTTTTTGGGACGAAAAGCAAAGGGGGTTTCGTTTTTGTGAGCGAAGATATACGGAAAATTGGCGACTTGGCGACGTTTTTTAGTCGACGTTTCGTTTTTTGGGTTTTCGGGAATTTTTCAGGTTTTTAGAAAAAATTTGGTTCAGGGTCAAAGGGGACTTCGTAAAAATTCCCAAAAGTCAAGGGGGACTTCGTTTTTTCCATTTTCATCTAGCCACCTCGTGCCGAGCCCCGTGTTTGAGTAGTAAGTTTTTGGAGGTGGACTCGAAAAATGAGCAGGTAAAGGTTACAATTCAGGAAATCCCGAAATTTTTGGAACTCGGATTCTGTAAATAACAGAAATAAGGATTACGAGGAAAAAGAATATGGAAAATGGAAAATGACTTGTAAATGGCCATGCATAGTTGTCTCAATTACAATAGTTGTGAACAGTTTCAGCTCTGATTATGCTAGAAGATCGGAGTTGTTGATGACCTTGATTTTCAACATAAGTCAATCTCACAACATCTCGGGTCGGAGTTGGGTTAACGTGTATATCGTCCTTTGCCCACTCTATAGCGGGCGGAGCTTTGCGACGTTTGCCAATGTATGCGTGTGGCAGTTTTTGGCAGGAGAGTAAAAAAAGTAATGCTTTAGAATGGAGGTTCAACAAGTTTTTCAACGTGTTTAAATGTCTGCAGGGCCACACCCGCTATACGCATGGGATCGCCTATACTTAAGCTGAGTTTTGACCCTCACTCAAAGGTTATCATATGGCCGTCCATAGTTTGTGACACCAAAAGCGGATAATTTATTTATTTATTTATTTATTTGATACGCAAAACGCGTGCCACATGACCACAGTCAATGAAAAAACTCAAGATACATGCAGTAGTAAGGAAAACAGTAACACAAGAAAAACATCTATTGAATCAGCTTAAGTTCAGCCCCCGAATGTTGTATAAAGAGAAGGAAAATAAGCTTGTTTAGACCATGTACGGAATCATGTCATAGGCGAAGAATCTCGATGGAGTCTGCCTCATGCCCCCTGCTTGCAGCACAAGTGCTCTTAAATCATTCGATAAGCAACTGTAGCTGGGTAGCGGGTATTGAGGTTACGCAATGTACTGTATGACAAAGCCAATCCAACCAAGTATGATAGTATGACTTTACGCAATGTACTGTATGACAAAGCCAATCCAACCAAGTATGATAGTATTAGGTTGAACCGAAAGTTCTGTCGCACCATTTTCAAAAAATCATAACTTCTTTCCCACACAAAGATTTTGCACAATTCAAATTTTGTCTGAAAGCGTAAAGCACGTAGTTTCCAAAAGCTCCCTGTACAGTTTCCACATGCTCAGGTGGCAGAGATAAAAATGAAAGAACGAGATCATCCGAAATTCGGAATTTTTAAGCAAGAATTCTAAAAATTCAGAAACTGTGCGGTAAAATCCAGAAAAGCCATTATCCTAATTTTTCTTATATTTGATTACTAACTGAGTCAAGTTTGTGCTGATCGAGCCCTTCTTTTAGAAGTTATGAATTTTTGAAAAAAAAATGCCAAAAAATCCATTCCTTAAGAATTCTCAGAAAATTGATTTTTCGGCATTATTTTTCAAAAAATTATAACTTTTGAAAGAAGGGCTCGATCAGCACAACTTGACTCAGGTAGTAATCAAATGCAAGAAAAATTAGGATAATGGCTTTTCTGAATTTTATCGCACTGTTTCTGAATTTCTAGATTTCTTGCTTAAAAATTCCGAACTTCGAATGATCTCGTTCTTTCAGTTTTATCTCTGCCACCTGAGCATGTCGGAAACTCCCCGGGGAGCTTTTGGAAACTACATGCTTTACGCTTTCAGATGAAATTT